GAAAAAGAACTGGATAATGGTCATCTGCAAGGCAAAACTGAAAAAATCGAAAAGAGTCGAAGTTCGACCACTTTTGCCGAAATTAAGGCTCAGAATATAACAGCTAAGAGTCACAAATTAAATTCACATGATCGGAAAGGAGAAGATCATCTTGATTTACCTAATGACAAAAAAGAAATTATCGTAAAGGATAACGATAAAATCCGTAAAAGAGAGAACGAATCTACCTTTTCTATCGATTTAAGCGAAGGGAATCAGCGCTCACCAAAAAATAACATTAATTCTCAAGGTAACAAACATTGAAATTAAAAAATTTCCTCCTTTTTTTAATAATTAATTTTTTAAATTTATTCCCCCCCCCAAAAAAATAGTTTCTTTCGAAAAAAATCAAACCACTTCATCGAATATAACATCTTTCGATTCACGCCATCATCATGGTAAGATTAGATCTTAAAATAGCCGATATATATATTTTTTTACTGGCTGTTAAAATGATTCTTTTTTATTTTAGTAAACAATTATTTGAGGCCAAAAGCAGAATCTCGATATTTTATTATCAAAAGTCATAACTATGAAAATGTCCTAAAGTCTCAATCTGACGTAAATATTAAACCATAAGACATAGTAAATTATAAGTTAATAATGTATAATGTAAATTCTTTTTCGATTAAGTCTTCTCTTCTATTTAGGGAATTTGGGCAACTCAACCTGGCAATGCTGACATTTTAAGCGAGGCGTTTCAGGTATAGATATAAAATAATATAATCTCCTGATTTATACCTCTTGATATTATTCTATATTAAATACTGTATTCTAACAATAGACAAGTGAACGCGTCGTTCTTATTTTTTCTGTGAATGAAAGCCGACATTTTCAAGGTAGAAAATAAAATTTTATAGATTATGATTATTCTTGCATTCGAATGTTTCTAACATCATTTTAATGCTCATCCACCAAAGGTTACTGCGTTATGACCTCAGATATTGGTGCAGCTAAGCATGCCTCTTGGTTGAGAATTAATGAAGCAAATCTCGGGGGAAATTTTCATGTTCGATGGATTAAAATGTAAGCGTATAAACTATTCATCGAATTTTTCCAATCATCATGATACTAATTACTTCTTGCTCTTATTTAGCCGGGATTTACCATTCGATAGAACGGGACATATACGAAATCCTTGGAACGAGGGCAAGCCTGTAAAGATTAGTCGCGATGGACAAGTGAGCAATAACTTAACTTTAGCCATATTTTTATAATTTCTGCTTAATTATTTATTTATTATTTTCAGGAGTTGCCTTCGAATATTGGAAATAAGTTATGTGAATTATTCGAAACTCTCCCTGAAGAAACAAGCACCGCCCCTGACGCTAATATTGAATCCAAAATCAAAAAGGACCATCGAGAAAAATTGCGGCGTTCAGAATCTATTGCTGATAGATATAAGCCATATGATGCTTTGAACAGAGCACAAAGAGCCGAAAGGTATGTTGGCTGCTGTGCTCCTTATTTAGAAGGAATAAATGGATTTTCACATAAATCTTTAACGAATATTAGAGGTATTCGTGCTCGTGGACAAATGTTATCCGCCGAGATTGAACGACCGCGTCTGGTAATTAATAAATTTCAGTTTTTTGCTAATTATTAAAAAATGTTATTAACCTTATTTGTCCTCGTTAATAATGAATTTTAGGTTCGTGAATTACCTCCACGCGAATATTCACGAATTATTTCACACACGGGTGAATATGAAGGTCATCATGGACAATATAATCTTTTTCACCCTACTTTTCAGGTATATATTGTTCATTCTTTATATGGTATATACAAAGTATCGTGAATAAATCTAAAAGGTAAATTCTGTTATTATAGGGTCATCTTGGAATGCCACATCATCGGACTTGGCAGGTAATGTGTGCTTAACATAGTACCTGATTTTATTGATTGATGTCCTTGAAAATTTGACTCAACTTTTATAATTTTCAATAGTCTTTCGGATCACACATTGCATCACATTCCGGTCAAATCAATCATCATCGAGTGCCCAATTTCGAACGGAACGGACGAAGATGAACGTTAAATATTTATTAAAAATTGAACCATGTAATTTAATGTAAACACTATATAAAAATAGTCAATCAGATGACTATCAAATTGCAGGAGACTAGAAATATTATAAAATATTCGGAAAAGAATAAAAAAAATCTATAATCTCTTTTTACTGTAATTTATGAGCAACTTGAACTTGTTCATGAATGCAAATAGGTTCTTAGATATAAAAAAAGCATACTGAAACACAAAAGTGTAAAGAATAAAATATGAATCAAAGTCCAAGCATTCATGTACCGACAAAAAGAACAGACGAAGTAGACTGGGCAAATCCTTTAAGGCGTTACATTCAAACAACTTATCAAGAGGATCCAGATAAATATGCTGACGAAACAAATTCCATTCACCGACTTAGACAAGATATGCGTGGTGCTGGAAAGGACATTACTGGTAGAGATTTGCTCTATCGATATTATGGGCAACTAGAATTACTTGACCTTCGATTCCCTGTTGACGAGAATCACATAAGGGTCTCTTTTACTTGGTAGATTATTAAAATTGTCTTATTATAATTTTTCAAAGAGTATTTTTGTTATACATTCTATAAATTTATTGTTATCTCAAAAGGTACGATGCTTTTACCTTAAAGCCTACCTCTCAATTCTCGCTCGCATATGAAAAAGCTAGTACAATATTCAACATAGCTGCTGTATTATCGGCAATTGCTGCCACGCAGAATCGCTCTGAAACTGAAGGATTGAAACGAGCATATAATTTCTTTCAAGCATCAGCTGGGATGTTCACATACATAAATGACAACTTTTTGCATGCTCCATCAACAGATTTGAGCCGAGACACAGTTAAACTCCTCTCCCAATTAATGTTGACACAGGCTCAAGAATGCTTTCTGGAACAAAGTTTTGGGGCAAAGAAAAAGCCCGCCTTAATTGCAAAGTTAGCGGCTCAAGCTGGCTGGTCTTATGGAAATATTGTAGAAAATATGGGTGATCTCGTATCTAGAAATGTTTTTGACAAAAGTTGGCTTACCGTTTGTCAGGTAAACTGAAATCTTAGTCAAAATTGAATTAACGATTAATTTATTTATTAATCCATTTTATGTCTTCATATTTATATGTGTCAAATCAATAAAATAGATTAAGCACAAATATCTTGTTTCAATTGCTCAGTATCAAAAGGCTTTAGCATGTGAAGCAGATGCTAAATATGGTGAGAGTGTTGGACGACTTCAAGTTGCTGAATCACTCGCTAAGGAGGCAAATAAATTATCTACCGGATTCTTGTCAGCCTTCTCATCATCGGCAAGCCCAACACTCTCGGCAGATGCAGCTATTTCTTTGCAGGAAATATGCAAATCTAATATGGCATTAATAACGGAGAAAAAAGTCGCAGCAACTCGTGATAATGATATCGTATATCATGAAGCTGTGCCTCAGGAAAGTGTTATACCTCCAATTGAAAAACTGAATGCTGTCAAACCTATGCCTATAAAGGATCTTTATGCTCCTAACGAAATTCAAAAGGTTATCGGCCCAGATATATTTGAGCGTCTTATACCTTTATCAGTGCATGAATCAGCATCCTTATATTCTGAGGAAAAAGCGAAAATTGTGCGTAGTGAAACCGAACGTTGTGATATTGCCAATGGAGAATTGGAGGCTGCCCTGGAATATATGAAATTGCCGGGATCTTTAGAAAAATTTAAGAATGCCGACAATACCAGATCTTTTGATGTACTAGCTGCACCACCAGCTGAAGTGAAGCAATGGGCTTCATTGATTCGGGAGGAAGAATTGCAAAAAGGTTCAATAAAAGAATTAATGATAACCTTAGATGGATTGAAAGCAAGAGCCAAAGAACTTTTAGATGGAGTCACGTTAACACTTGACACAGAGCAAAGAGAATGTGAATTACTTCGTGTAAGTTGTAAATCTCAAGTAATCTATACCTTCATGTATGTATTCACACGTAAATCACAATATGTATAATTAGGTTAAATACGGTGATGCGTGGACGCAATCTCCATCTGGTCAATCCACCACTTCCATTCGTCAAGATATGCAAAGTCACCGAGAATCTCTTGAAAAAGCATCTAATTCTGACCGTCATATTTACCATCAATATGAACAAGTATCTAACGATGTCGTGACGTTGTTATCTAACGGAAAATGCGAAGATTTGGAAAGAGTTTTCGCTGAAGCACTTACTTCTGTTGGACTTAATCATAATGTTGTCGAGAACGAAAGTTTACTTGATGTGGAAACATCTGGATCTGAGGAAAGAATTCCAATTAAAGCCCAAAAAGTAGAAGAATGTATAAGTAACCTTTACAAAGTGAAAAAAGAAAGGATGGATACGTTAAGTGATTTAAAAGAAAGGGTAATCAATCATGCAGTTTTTTTCTCATGTAG